ACTCAGCGTTGTAGATAAATGATGGATGCATCAGCTTGTAAAACGAGGCACTATTGGGTGGGGGGCGCATATGAGGATGCTGTGAAACTGGCCGATAACCGCGACATTCGAGGTTGACTGGGCGAGAAGCGGGAGCCCCGCAGAGGCTCAACAAAAGACGCCGCCAGCCCAGAATATGGAAGGAATCGCCGATAGTTAGGTCGGTCCGCTGGACGACCAAAGTAATCTTGAATGTCGGACCACTGGACGCCAAGTAACACTCTTGAAGGTCTAGTCAAGTGACACTGTCGGATTATTATGAACGCAATAAAACTTATATTGAATGCATCTCTCAAGCTATTCACAGGCTGATTTGGTGGCGATAGTAAAGTCGGCGACGGGGCTGCTTACCTAATCGCCCTGGGAGAGATGCTGATAACGGATATTGGTTCGCAGCAAAAAATGTATTGTAACAAAGCGATAATTGAAAATACGTGGTAGTAAAAAACCGTCTAAGCCGCCGGCCTTGGGACATCACCCATTTGGTGGTCGCCATCGGGCAATGACGCGTTGTCAGCAGCATGGGGCGCAGCGGGCACCGCGTATGTGCCACTGGGGTTCTCAAGGGCATCCAGGCGGTTGGCGATTTTAGCCAGAGTCGTCTCTATGTTAGTGACACGATCAGCGAACCCGTCTTGCACTTGGGTTATCTCCTTAGAACGCTCGCCTAGTGTCAACAAATGCCTATTAATCGCGTCCATCCAGTTTGTAAGCCGTTCCTTTGAGTACGTAGTGGTCGCCTCGCCCTTGGTAATGTAGTCGTAGAGAGCGCTGCCGAAGGTCTCCGGAGTGCCGGCATTTGTTGAAAGCGCATCTATCGAAGACTTTAGAGATTGGGACACACGAAGGGTGTCCAGCGTGTTATCCATATGGTCGGCGGCGACCCCAGTCGCCTATCAGTGGTCAGGAGACAGGAACCTTGATTGGAAACTACTTACAGGTCTCGCCGAAGTCGTGGGAACCTAAAACAGCCAATCATGAAGTGTTGTTCGCGCAATGAGGGTTGGTACGTACAATAGACGGCAGCTGCTCAAGGGGTGTGTCATCGGAAGGATTCCAAGAACCTCCAGGCTCAGAGACGTTGAGGCTTTTATGCATCGCTTTGCGTTTCCCAGCCTGCTTGTCATTTACTTTCGACGCGGCGACGCTACCATCCGGTGGCGGAATACTTTGTGTCTCCTGGACGATGATCAGCCAATGGTAACGAATATATGCAAAGCTTACGTGACGTTTCTTCTGGCGGTCAGATTGTCGTGATGGCCTAGGCGTCATCTCTGGATTGTCGCCGCCGACAGCGGAATCGTTATCGCCACTGGGCGCTGACGCCTTGTCGTCGCCGACAGAGACTGTATGTCGCGCCAGTCCACTGCCGAGGTTGCTAGGAGCACACAACGTCACTCCAGATGTGTCCTGTGGGCCAGCGGCGGGATTCGGGCGTAGAATAGCATTCTCGGCGTCACCGTGGGATGGCTGTGCGGCGTCAACGAGGCCGGCGGCAGAGGATCTCGGGGCATTCCTAGTGGCGGGCCTTCCGCCAGGGGATAGGAGCTGGGGCTGAGGAGAAGCTTCATGAGGATATGTTCAAAGTCAATAGCAATTGACATACTTGGGCAGGCGGTTTCGCATGATCAATGCCAGTTGGGTCAGAAGCAGGGAGGGCAAGGGGTTCCATTGGAGGCATAGCCGTGGGCGGAGTCGAGGTGTCGGGGGAGGGTCGGCGGCACCTGTTCCACCATTGATCTCCAACGCCGTACGAGAGCGTGACGTCGCAAATAGGGAACTTCTCATTTGGGGCGGTGGCGCTGACGTCAACTGAAAGGGGGGTCCCCGGGATGACATTCTGGCCGCACATGACCGCCGCTACATGGCGGGGGACGGTTGCCGAGCCATGCATGGCGAGTAGCTTACGCACCATCGGTGTGATGGCCTGCATTATTGCTAGACAGTGTGCGCACCTCTAAGCATGAGGAAACTTACCATTTCCCAGCTCCACCCGGCCATCCATTCGGCTACGTCAATGTCTCCTGAACAACTAGTGTCTATAGCCAGTCGCCAGCGGTTGTTGAGGAGGAAGAAAAGGCTTTGTGCTTGTGAAAAGCTGGTCGGGTCGATCACCGACCAGGGAAAGCCGACAGGAAGGGCCCAACTCTGAACGGCGGGGGCTGGAGTGGACATGGTTGGTGGGTTGCGGCAAAGGGTAGGCAGCAACCCTAGCGCTCATCTATTCCCGAGCGGCATCCGTGGGAACAGGCTGTGAGAACAGGTATATGATCATTTATTTCTGGGCCGGAGGTTCTCTTCCTTGTAAATAACTGCGATCAGCGCTCAGCGACAATGGCACACAACAGTGAGTACCCCACCTTCCGAACGCAGATCCGCTGAAATGCTGCCAGATGCACCACCTCCGAACCAGGGGGACAATGCTTACCATCACGCTACCTCGCAATCTTTTGGGGCAATCGGAGGCAATCGGCCTACTCAAGGACAACCGGTGCCAAGGGTACTAGGTGCGTCCAATTGAATGTCATCCCGCCGTCGGGATCTTATTGATTTTACAGATCTTGGCTCCGCCCTGGCGCAGCGTGATGTCGATCATTCCCCTGAAGGCGCTGGCGGCGCTCGCTCCCGGCAACAGACTGAGCCCAATACAGGCAGCGCCCAAGCTCGTGAGTGGAGCCTGTATCCGTGCAAATCAAACTAATAGCAAACAGTCGCTGCGGCACTGAGCCGCCGCCCTCAGGCGTCTGCATCGCCTGGATCAATGGGACTGATTGGTTTGCCGCCTGCAAACCCAACAGGTGTGGATGCTATGGATCCGCCGATATCGCACTACAGCGCAATGCAAAGTCAGCAGCAATCATTCCAGCCTCCAGCTGTGCCCACCCTTTCGCAGCAGCACCAGGTATACCAACCGCAGATGTATCCCCCTCAAGCGTTGCAACACCATACTGCTCTCCAGGCCCCACAGCCCCATCTATACCAAACCGGCGAACACATCCAGTACAGCTCCGACGTCATTGGACAAGGCCAGCCCTTTTCGTTCTCGACGACTGGGCAATATGCATGCAAGTAGCTCTCATCAACGTTCAACACTGATTGACGCTGACACAACATAATGACACATCCAGCAGGGCGCCGCGAGTCGACAGCGCCGCCCCGGGCCCATCCAGAGTATCCAAGTGAGCGCTTCTCCGGCTATTTATAGGATTCCTCATATGGAAATGCTCACAGTGGATGTCCTTCGTCGCGAAATGACGGCGCCGCCGTCCTTCCATATCGGGGGGCCAGGCATGCGTCGGGATCTAGCACTCGGCGCACAAGGGCCCAACGTACATTATCAAGGATATGACTCCACCCTTAGCGCCATTGGCCCCGACAACGCCAACAATAACCCCAATCTGAGTAAGTGACAAATCCTTTTGCGGTCTAAGGGCTCACACTTATGGTAGGTTTCGTTCGCTTGGCCGATCTGGCGCCTTCCACAGAGAGGGACATTCACGAGGTCTCGATGGACAGTGGACAAGGCCAGGGAGACAACAGCGTTCCACCGTCACACGGTGAGTTGCCGCTTACATTTGAGACATCTCATTTATTTGTCGCAGATCCTCGCGTCACCAAGAAACCTCGGGCCAGTGCCGACATCGAGTCCGGTGCTGAGGGATCTCAGCACCCATCTGCATCCGCGACGCTGCCAACCTCTGGAGACGTCGGAATGAGTAACTCTCTATGGGACATCCCCGACAGTGTCACAATGCGGGTACCTTGGGTGCAATACCGCAACAGGGTGCTGGAGGCCTTTATGAGCGCCGATGACGATTCTGCCACAAGTCGCATGTTAACCAATGTTACCCTCACCATCATCGATAACACCATCCCACGCACTTTGCCCGACGATCCTCAGGTGACTGCGTCGATTGTGCAGTCAATCATGGAGTCCTCCCGCCATCTTGTGGAAGACATGTTCCCACAGTTTCGTGTCGCGCCCAATGGGCACACCCGGTACACCACCCAAGAAATTGCGCAGGCCATGAATATGTTACAGTTGGCGTTGCTCTTTGCCGCTCCGAGGCCCCGTACCCATTAAATCTTGTACATTGCATTGCCCGACTGAATCTATGTTTTTGCCTTGTCCACCACATTACAACCATCCTCCAGATATGAACCACGTCCGAAAGGGGAATGCCCCCCAGAGTGAGACACTTAGCTTTTGCAGCGGGCTTTCGCGCTCTTACCGATCGCCGGCCATCAGTGGCAATAGCATCGGTCGCCAGTGGGTTGGTCTGCCCTCGTAACAGTCTGTCGCCTTCATTGGATGAAGGCGCGTTGTCGCCGAGATTGGGCACAAGATGAGATTTTACTTTTGCGACACGAGGTGGACCCCATTTCTACGGCCATTCCAGTCAGAAACGACACGCAGGCGGGAGCGAATGCGACAGATGTCTGGTGACCTGTAGGGTGCTAGCAGGTAAAAGACCGATGGTGTCAACTAGCAGAAATGGCGACAACAACATTCCAATGCATAGCTATGAAGCATCTGTCGCCGTCTGAATTGCAGCTCTGGTTGCCAAGTGACAAGAACACAGCAATCCAGCTGACTGACGACGCCGCCGACAAGTATTTCTTTCCAAACCTGTGTCGAATTGAAGTGCAGTGTGGCGGCAAAGGTGGAAATGGTTCTTAGACACCGCACATTGTGTATTCTAATGCATCAATAGGGCACAGTAACTACTAGAATGCCATGGATTCCGAAACTCTCGCCAATTCGTCTATACGGCGGGCGACCCGCTCGTTGTCGGCGTTCATCTTGTGGAGGTGGGATAGCACGTCCCGTTCTGTGTCCGGACGGACGGCTAGCGCCCATGATGTCATCGACGCGAGACTTGCGACCGATGACCCCTTCGAGTTCGCGGATGTGCTCGGCTCGACGTCGGGGGAAGCGAAGCGGGACAGGGACATGTCCTCGCCTGCTTCTGAGCGATGTTAGCAAAACAGGGACGAGTCGTCAAAGGACTTACCATCAACGTCGAGGTACGCATTCCCCGAGCGTCTGGCCCGTCGCTCTTTGTCCTCGGCGAGGTCCGCTTCCCATTGTTCATGGAGCGTCTCGCGAGACACACGCCGTGTAGGTCCACGGCGCGGTCTGCCCTTCTTCGGGGCCGGTTGCTGGGGCACCTGTGGCGCGTCCTTGACGCGACGGCGCTTACGCGGTGGACTGTTGTCGCGGGCGCTGGCGGCGCAGGCACCTTTGGCGCCAACGCGGGTGGGTTTCTTGGCGGCCCTCTTTGCCTTCTTGGCGGCGCTGATGGCGGCTCGTTCGGCGGTGACCCGCTCCACGCACGTGCATTTCTTCTGGTCCTGCCTGCACGCTTTGCAAGCCTTCTTGCCATTCGGAAGGTCGCAGACCCTGCGGTGCTTGTCTTTGCATCGCTGGCAGCGATCCTCCTCATAAAAGCGGCGAACCTGTAAGTCAGTCAGCGGACGTCTTCGCGGCGAGGTCCACCCACGTTTGCAGGCGGCGCTGCGCACACGCTCGCCTCCGAACTCCCCTCGTCGTCATCCTCGTCCTCCTCTTCTTCGTCGTCACCCTCCTGATCATCGTCCTCGCCTCCCACCCCCGCTACTACCTCTCTGTCGCCATCCTCGCTGCGATCATAGGAGGCCTATGCAAAGGGGATCGGTCAGCTGTTGGCGTGAATGAGAGATTCAATGAGACGCGCTTACCTCTGACTCCTTCTCATCGCTGCGGCGCGCTTTCCGACCCTCAAAATGCTGTCAGATCAGGTCGCCGAAACCGTAGATAAACATACCTTTGTGTTGTCAATGAAAATGCAGTCCATGAGTTTGCATCCCGGTAATGGACGAGTACGGGGCGGACGGCGATGAGGCGGGGGCTGTACGTCAGGTTGACGCGTGAGATGGTGTTGGGAACGACGCACTTTGGAGGGAATGCTCTGAAACGATAGACCTGCTGCAGAAGTTGAAGTCCCAGCTGTGTCTGAGGGCGAAGCAGGCATGGGCGACGGCGACCGCTCCACGGCCTCTGTCCACCAGCGCTTCTCGCCGATGTCTTGGCGCGCGCGCGAGTGCGATGACGACCACTCCAAACATTCCCCGGGGACAGGGGATCCAGGAGAATTGTACAAATTAATAGCCCCAGGGACAGTTTTTGCGCCGATGACCGAACGAAGGAAGGGAGGAATGGCCAAGTCGCCGAAACGGTGCAGGAAGTCGACAATGACGTCCCATGATGCAATCTACAAATGGTCTGTGAGTGGCAACGGCTCGGTGAATAACGGTAAGTGTCAGCCGCGCACCACGTCTGTCTCCATGTTTCCCGCAAAGAGATCCGCCCTCCATTGCTCCATGACACTAAGCTGGGCCTGGAGACGCGCTTCCACCGCGTCCAGGAAGCGCTGCCCGTTTGAAGCGGGGTCGAGATTTGTCGGCCAAGTCATTGAGGTCGCGCGAGCCCACTGAGGGAATTGTACAATATCAACAGGGATGCTGCCAGACATGGTGCAGGGTAAGAGTGAGAGGCGTGGCGTTCAATATTCAATGCGCGCCGTATCAAAGTCGGCGCAAAAAGATATGTTTTGAGCTATTTGCTACTATGTACTAGCTTCTTCAGGGCCTCGATTAAGTTCGCGCGCCGGGCTCAGCACTTCTCCTTCATAGCCAACGGCTATCCGGCTTCGGGTATTGAATATTGAGGCCTGACGTTAGCTTCCGTACGTTCCGCTGGTGCTTCTATTTGTCTAAGGCCCCAATGCATTAAGCGCCCACCATTATGTGTCTCAGCCAGAGGTATTGGCATGATATTTATAGGCAAGTAAGAAACATCGGTTTCTCCAGCAATGTCCAACCTTTACCTTACTGAACATGTCGCTTCATACATGCGCGACCTATTTAGTGTTGAGGTCTCTGCTTCTGTCCCGTTGCCGCCCCATCTATCTCCATTGCTAGCTTCGGATGCCCGGCGCGCTGCCGAAATCATCACTATGGCCGATCAGTGTCTTGGTAAGCCATCTCATGTTTGTCGCTTTCCGACGATTATTCTTTTCCGATCATTGTTGTTGTCTTAAGCTTGCGCGTTTCCGACGGGAGTTGCTTTCCGAATCATATGGTTAATCCCTTGCCTGTCGCGTTCCGTCAGATGGTTTCTTCCGATGCTTGTCTCCCGATGCTTGTGCTTTTCCGATGCTTTTATAATCCGATGCTGATTTCATGTAGTGACCCTTCACGGCGACATCGTGTTTCATTCTTCGCTGCTCGGCAAACGTCAATGGGGAATGTACCCCCCGAAAGAAACCCTTTTAGAGGCGCTCAAACCACATCTGTCTTACCCGGCTGGCAAGTGCCCGTGGAAGTCTACGATTCCCGATCCCTTCACTGGTCGCCTCTGGGCATGGCTTCCATTCAAACTTGCCGATCAGAGCGGCCGCATCATCCTATGGTACCTGCCGGGTCTATTGACCGACGCTCGACAGCAGGATATGCTGGATGCTTTGCGGACTCTTGGTACGGTTCTTGCTCGTGGGAAGTCCAATCCCGACCCGTCATCCACCTCTCGCTCCACTAAGGAATGGCGCCGTAACGGCGTATTATTCAACCCAGACGTCCCTGCTCATGGAGTTCCATCTGGCGGGATGAGTGTATCTGCAGGCTGGTACCACAAGCCACAGGATGTATGTTCTTATTGTTTGCAAACGAACATCCTCTCATGAAGTATAACAGTTCATCTCTGAAGTACCCAAGGCAGCTGTGCTCTTGGAGCGAAACCCTTCCGTCGCCGACTGGGCCCGATCATCGGCGGAGACATTCGCCCTCATGTCGGGAATTCTCGCCCTTGTTCATCCGACACAATACGAAGAGGGGCTACGCTGCATGCGCAAGCTCGCACGTGAAAGCCTCACACCTGACATTGTCGGCGATTGGGAATGTGTATTCACGGCTATCTCCGTAATGGTGAATCGCGAAACGATTTTTCATCGAGAGGGGCAGGGTCATTACGAATGGTATAACATTCTGGCGACATACGGGTCCTACCTATGCGGGCAGCTCTCGTTTCCGGGAATCGGCATAGACCTTGATTCCCGTCCAGGCACTGTTGTCGCGTTTTGTGGCAACATCCTGCGGCATGGAGCTCCGCGATGTATTGGAGAGCGTGTATGCCTAGCTTACGATATGCGAGAGGCAGTTCACCGATGGGCGGCCACGGGGCCTGCACAGTGGTCTCGTGGCCCTAACCCTACATAGACCAGATACGCACGAGGATTCTTGAATGCAGTGTTTGTTGTGCGACTGTAGCTGACGATATGGACATCGGCCGCGGCGTAGGCGGCGGTTCCTGCTCGTTCCCGACACCTTGCCTGCCCTCCCGCGCAACCTGCGAACTCTGTCTAGTGACGCGCCCTTCTCGTCGCCGCTGGTGATTGCCGATAAACGCCTATCACCGCCGAGAATGGACATCAGCGCAGGCGACGGCTTTTGCTCGTTCCCGACACATTGCCTGCTCTCCCACGCAGCGTGCGAACTCTGTCCAGTGATATAATCTTCTCGTCGCGGCTGGTGCCTGGCGACAAGCGACCATTGCCGTCGGCTATTATCTGGGCCAATCCATAAATCACCTGAATGGGGCAGATTACATTTCACAGGGCGATTAGGTAAGCAGCCCCGTCGCCGACTTTACTATCGCCACCAAATCAGCCTGTGAATAGCTTGAGAGATGCATTCAATATAAGTTTTATTGCGTTCATAATAATCCGACAGTGTCACTTGACTAGACCTTCAAGAGTGTTACTTGGCGTCCAGTGGTCCGACATTCAAGATTACTTTGGTCGTCCAGCGGACCGACCTAACTATCGGCGATTCCTTCCATATTCTGGGCTGGCGGCGTCTTTTGTTGAGCCTCTGCGGGGCTCCCGCTTCTCGCCCAGTCAACCTCGAATGTCGCGGTTATCGGCCAGTTTCACAGCATCCTCATATGCGCCCCCCACCCAATAGTGCCTCGTTTTACAAGCTGATGCATCCATCATTTATTCTACAACGCTGAGTAATGCTGAGTAATCCCATTTGACCAACTGCCACAGGGAGGCATCCCCTCTGCCACATGTGTCATCCACGCGAATTCTTCAGGTATTTCG